TGCGCACTCTGGAAAGAGCCTTAACTGTACACTGTTGTCTTGAAAAGCACATTTCCATCCTGGGACTAAGCAACTCAAGGATATGTCGGTTCTGCTCCATAACGGAAGAAACGCATCTGCACATCTTAACTGATTGCGGACCCTTAATGCACAAACGTAACACTTATCTGGGAAACTATGTACTCCACCCAGAAGAAGTAAAATTTCTCACGGCTAAGCTACTCCTTATAATCATTGAAGATATAGGGCTTAGCAATGAACTATAGCCATAGCAGCGATCACAATAGATCTTTTAGGTCGCAGTGATACTGGTCTCCTTCCCTAGGCCTGCATAGCTGTTCGCACATGTTAAAAAAATAGGCATAATTCTCAACTTATGGAAGACAGCTTTATTGCACCCGATCCCTAAAAAGGCGACCGATCCGACCCGTCCAACTGCAGGCTTACCACCGTCGCCTCCTTGTTCTCCAAAATAATAGAATCCATTATAAACTGCTAGCTCATAAGGTACCTTGAAGACCACCAGCTAATTAGTAACCACCAATGTGGTCACTAACCAGCTGGTTAGTTCTAATCTTCTAATTTACCCGACTTATAGATGAGCTGAAGCAAAGAGTCCAAGAGGGAGTCTTGGTTGTTACTTTGAACATAGCAAAGGACTTCGATGGGCTTTGGCACAAAGTGCTTCTTTTGAAGCTTCCTTGCTATGCTTGGGCCTTTCGAGAAATTGTCCAATTGAATGATCAGTTTTCTTGAAAATCGGAGCATCAAGATCGTAGTAGATGGTGCATATTCCGACTACGAGCCTATTAATGCTAGTGTTCCACAAGACTGCGTGCTATCATCATAATACGTACGCTTTTTCTTCTGTATATCAATTATATCTTGCTGTTACTGGCTGTAACACTGGTGATGCTTTTTACACCGTTTTTGCTAATAGTTCTTGGAAGTACGTCATCGAGTATCGGAACAAACTTATCTGAAGTCGAGTCTTTAATATAGGTACAAAATATCGGATTGGGAAGGACTCTGGTTCATTTTAAACTTCAGAAGACAGGTTTGCGCGTTTACCCCTTTGTCGTATCTCCACAATTTCAGGGCACTTCGGATCCCTCGGCATTAATATACAGTTCCGCGGTCACTTGGAAGGGAAGGCACAACAGAGTGGGACAGCATTTCATGCCGGTACAACTTTTTCAACTTTATAAGGTGCAAGTTCGCCCTCACGTGCAGTACTGTTCTCATCTCTGGTCGTGGCACCCCAGTGCCAGATCCTTCCACTAAACCGCATCCAGCTAATAGTGACTCGAATCGTTGACGACCGAGTTCTTTCCGATCGGCTCGATTCATTGGTGCCGTGAAGAGATGTTGCAACCCATTGCCTTTTGTTTTTTGCATTTTTCACGGGGAGTACGTATACAAATAGTTCGGATTAATGCCAGTCACCAAATACCAGCAACGCACATCCGTACAAAACATGGTACCAACCACATAATTTGGATTCTTGGCGGCACACCATGACGTGCGATTTACGAAGAGTTTTCTTTCTCGCAAGACTTCTTTGTGGAATTATCTACCACCGGCGATTTTTCCGGACCGATACGACTTAGATACCTTCAAGAAGCGAGCTTACTCCTTTTATGAAGGCCGACAACGCACCTGCTATTTCTTTGGTGTTGCAGTTATTCATGGGCGATAGTCGACACTGACTATCAGGAAAATTTGATTTAATGTGCGTGAGAACCCGCGGGGTTGAAAGCTAGTAAAAGATAAAAATCCAGTAAATATATTCTTGGGCTGGGCAGGCATAGACAGAACTGGCCAGTGGTGGAGTGCATATTCATAGTTAGCACAGAACTCTATTACTCCTATAGTTAGCCTAGGGTGACTAGACAAAGACAAGGGAGACAAAGAGTCAAGAGGTGATAGAAGGAAACTGGAACAGGAGATGGGCAGCAACATCTTCCTGAATCAACTTAAAATTATAAAAACTGCGGATACTAATCCACCACCCTGCCAAGCATGGCAACTATGGTAAAATCCCCCTATAAGGCAATCTATGGGGGAGGTCTATGTTCAGCAGTGGACTTTAAAGGCTGTAATGAAAAATAATTATACCCGCAATATCATGTGATTTTGTTTACATATATTTTTAAATAAAAATGTAATATTTTGTATCATCATCACCATCATTATAGCCAGTCCACTATTGAACATGGCCTATGTTTGTCCTGATAGACAAAGTGTGAGAAATATCATCCATACTTAAAACGCCATAGTTGCCACGCTTGGTTAGGGGGAAATACTGCTGCTAATGTTCTGTTTTAGTTTCCTTTTGTCGCCTATTACGTTACTAAAATATATTAGGAAGGGTAGTGGATACTCTTACTCCGCTACTACAAATATAAATATATCTTAATAATGGAAACCATTATAAAGCGCTAGTACAGTTTCCACTGCGGTCGCTCAGCTGGTGATCTGGTTTACCTGACTAATAGATAGGCGGATTCGGTAGAGTCGTGGCCGTTAGTTTGGAAATTGCGTAGATCTTGTACCGCGTTTGGCTTCCAAAGATTCCTTCTTGTGGGGTGTCCGAGATATTTTGCCATTGGATTACTTACCAGTTTTCTTGCAAATCGGAGCATCAAGGTCGTTGTAGAAGGTATACTTGCTCCGATTACAAGCCTATTAGTTTGGTGTTTCACAAGGCTGTGTTATGTGATTACTCGAGATACGTTATTACTTACGCTAATAATGTTTCTTCTGCATATCAGTGATATGTTACACCAGAAACCTTCATTGCTATGCCAATATTTCTCGGGAACACGTCGTCGGGTACCAGAACAGCCGTGTGTTTAGCTCGAGTCTTTGCTAAACCAAATCTCGAATTGGGGGCGACTTAATCTAATATAATTTAATTCATAGAAGACACAAGTTTACGCTTTTACCGCTAAAAAGATCCCCTTTACTTTGTCACCTCAACTTCAGGGCACTCCTCTTGTTTCCTCAGCCAGCATCCGAATCCTCGGCGTCGGAACATCGAATGATGTGCAGTTTCGTGATCACTTGGAGGGGAAGGCTTAATTTGTTTGGCGTGCTCAGCAGAGCGCGACAGTATTTCATACCGGCACATCGCCTGCAGCTTCACAAGGCGCAAATTTCGACTCACATGGAATATTGATCTCATTTCTGGGCCGGGTCTCCCAAATGCCAAATTCTTCCACTTGACCGCATCCAACGCAGAGCGGCTCAAATCGTTAAGACCGATTTTCCTCTGAACAGCTCAATTCACTGGTGCTGCGAAGAGAATCTTTTTGCATACTTTTGCATCTTATATCGAATTTATGTGCTCTGTGGAATTGCTCGGATTAATGCCAGCGGTCAAATTTTACCAACGCACATCGCGTCAAAACTCACGTTACCATCCACATCATCTGGATGCTTGGCGGTCTACTACCGTGTAATTTACTAGGTATTTTCTTCCTCGCACAACTTGGAACTGTTTAAAGTTACAGATTATATATATTCAACTGCCGACCACAGGCTTCCTCTCATTTCTGAGGGTTTTAGGGTGAGGAAATTTCTGGCGCGGTGCCCGATGTGTGTTGGCGAACTTCACATGTCTTCGAAATAATTTTTTTCTTATTTCTCAGACATGCAGGTTTCCTCACGATGTTTTCCTTCACCACCGAGAACGTAGTAAAGCAGAAGCAGCACTTAAAATTGCAATTAATAACTTCATTGGAGCCTACGGGGTTGAACCCGGGAAGGACGGCAACGCACTGGCAATTCCCCTGTCGTTGCAGTTAAAGTTGTTCAAAACGACTATAAATCAATAGCACGCTACAGACTATAAACTAGAAATTTCTAGCGCGCTATTAAATACGCTATGTTATAGCGCGCTTTTTATAAAAAAGTGTGTAGGAGGCCGGCAAGCGCGTAACGTTTAGCAGCACGCTATATCTCGGAGCACGCTACATTACATGTCGTTCATTGGATAGACCGCGTGCTATATAAGAATATTGTTTCGTAATAAGTCGCATTTTAGATTAAAATAAAATAAAGTGGTAAAGAAAAATTAAAGAACGCTCTTTCATATTTTTCAGACCTTTTATAACCCTAAAAATATTTTTAAGGACTGTACTTTGTAAAACAAAATAAAATTAATCATTTTTTATTATAATTGATGTAAACGTTATTTTAACCTTATTATAAATTATAAATCACTTAAAGGTGTATTTAAAAGTTTATTAATTGTATATACAAAAATCAACTATTTACAAACACTATTATATACACTTTTTATCTATATTTTATTTACATTTAAAAACATTAGTTACTTTTCTTTTATAGCAGACAACTGTGTCCTTCGATCACTTATAAATATACATTAACACTAACTAAATAACGTCTAACACTAAATTAGTTCGCGCGCGATGAATGCGTGCTGCTAGATTAAATTTGGGTCACACGTCTACTCCCAATAGCGCTGCTGCTAGAACTAGTTGCCGCTTGATATGAATAGCGCCAAAGCGTCATAGCGTCATAGCGTCATAGCGCCATGGCGATACTTACATAGCGCGCGCTATGCGTTATGAAGAGATAGCGCGCTATAATATGGCACTATGCGCTATATTAAGCACCATTAGTTGCAGTTGTTCATGGGCCTAAGAGATTTCCTACTCGCTTTCGAGCTTTCAATCTGCCGGCGGTTAGAGAGAACGAGCTTACAGTATCTTGAAGTCTTGCAGTATATAATTTCAATAGAGAAGATGGATGGGTGCTGCCATCTGTTTGGGATCCTATTATAAATAAAATTAAATCCAAACCCAATCATATCGCTGCAAGGCTTCAAGATACCAGAACGCCATCCTGACGGTGCGCACAATCCTTGGCCTGGTATTGCCTGACCTGAAGCATATCAGTCTACCGATGAGGGCCCTAGCCTTTGCGATACGTTCTTCAATTCTTATTCTCCAGGCTGGGATAGCACTACTTTGTCAATTAGCGCGTCCAGCCGTGGAAAGTTTGGCGCCTATAATACGGCAGACTGCCAGTGCGGCGCCAAAAAGAATTGAGTCCGTCTCGCAAAGGTCCCGGCTGGCTTCCAAATAGGTCACCAGCATTGGGTTAAGAGCCCTCACGACAGCCCGATTTCGCTTGCTTAGGGGTATGCGGGGAAGTCGCGGTCGATTTTCGAGAGGGGTGCTGCGCGTTTCCAAAATCGCCTCTTCCAATATACTCCTCATTTGCTCTAGTTCGTGGGAGACTATTTCGTCGTCGTTCGAATCAACCACAACAGGAAGATCCATGGCGGCTTCCACGTGTGGATGCTGGTCTGTCGAATGTGGAGCTGCATCTCCAGCCATAGCCGATTCATTCGACGACGGAATAGCCTCACGTCGTAGTCGTTCGAGTTCGGCATCATCAAATATTTTCGAGCGCATGATGTACCGAACTCGGTCTGCCAGGTTTTGTTCCGTGACGGGGATAGACGGCTCCAGCTCAGCAAAAAAGCAATGCATCCGAGACCTATACGCTATTCCCACAGTTTCTTCCCCTTTCGCCCTATAGTACGCCCGCAATGCGTTTTCGTTCATGGATTTTGTCCAACGCATGCGACGTGCTCCACCATTATTATTATTATTTTGGGGTATCTATATAATTTTCTCACCTGGTTGGGTTCTATAAATATATAATTATAAATTAAAATGAAAAGATAAATATACATAAATATCAATAAAATAAAATAAACACAAACACTACATAAATAAATAAGATCCAACCAGATGGGAGCCCTCGGCAGGGGAGACCAAACGGCCGAGGGTTAGGGGGAAAGGGAAAGAAACCGGCGGACGATGCGGGCGGTATCGAGGAGCACCGCCTTCTGCATTTGAGCCCGGAGCGGTCCGTCACGGAGTCCCAGTCGCCTGACTAGGATTAGCCCATTCGCAGAGACGACTACAGGGACAATTTCGGTCGGCAGACCACCCCACATGTCGGTCACCTCGTGAGCCAGGTCCAGATATTTTGTTCGTTTCTCTGTTTCGGCTTTCACGAGGTTCTCGTCATACGGAATGGTAATGTCGATCAAAAATATCCTTGACTGTGCCCGGTCCATCAGCACAATATCAGGCTTATTCGCAAGAATAGTCCTGTCTGTGATGATGGCCCGGTCCCAGTAGAGCTGAGCGCGGTCATTTTCGAGCACGACTTCCGGCAAGTACTTGTAATACGGCAACTTCCGGTCCACGAGACCGTATTTCAGAGCGAGCTCCTGGTGTAGAATTCTGGCTACTAGGTTGTGCCTGTGCAAGTACTCAGAGTTAGAAAGCGCCGAACAACCGGAGATGACATGCCTAAGTGACTCCCCGGGATGGCGACAAGCTCGACAGACGTCGACAGTGCTATCCTTTAGGATGTATCTCCGATAGTTGTTGGTATTAATAACCTGATCCTGTATTGCACAGACAAAACAGTCGGTTTCCCCCGAAGAGGTCACCGAAACGTAGCCAGTTGAGGGAGGCGGCTGTATTTACGTGAGGCTCATGTAGAGCCCTGTAGTACCTCGTTCCTGTAGTAGTTTCCCGGTCGGAAATGCTCTGTACTGCCGGGTCTTGCCATTGCTCGTTGGCTAAGGATAGAGGGGTAAGTCCTTTATCACTAGAAATGACGTCATTATAGAATGGATCATCCAATCTCGCCAGGAAGTAATGACGGAGGCTGCACACTTCGCGATTATGCATGGTGAGCGCGCTCAGGAAGCCACGCCCACCATGCTTTCGCGGCAAGTACAGCCTCATTACCGACGATCTCGGATGATGCATCCTATGGGACGTCATTGTAGTGCGGACTTTTCTATCCAGGGCGTTAAGTTCAGTCTGACTCCACCTGAGTATGCCAAAGGTATACGTGAGGACAGGCATGACCCAACCGTTATATGCATGTATCTTATTCACACCGGACAAAAGGCTGTTAAGCACTTTGGTCAAGCGTGCATAAAACACGTCGCAAACTGACTGTTTCATACCAGCCTCATCGATACCGATGTTCTGTGACATACCCAGGTATCGGTATGTTTCAGCCTCGGAAAGGGCCCTTAAGTTGACGGGCATAGATAAGTCTATGCCCTCATAGTTAGCAACCCTTCCCCTTTCAACATGGAGGACCGCACACTTATCTGTCCCCAGCTCCATTCCAATAGAGTTGCTAAAATCACATGTGATGTTTAGCAATTCCATAAGATTGGAGCGACTGGAGCCGAATAATTTGAGGTCATCCATATAGAAAAGGTGGGTCACTTTTGTACCTCCCTTCCGAAGCTGAAATCCCCTCCCGGAGCCCTCCAGTAAAGTACTGAGAGGGTTCAAAGAGAGGCAGAACCAGATTGGACTCAGACAGTCGCCCTGGAATATACCCCTTCTTATCCTTATGCGGCTTTCCGCAGCCGTCATCCGCTCGCCCAGATGACAGAGGATCGTACTCCACTGCCCCATACACTGCCCGAAGAAGTCTCGAACTGTACAGTCAATCTTGTACAGGACCCTCGAGGACCCTCTTTAGCCATGTATGGGGCACCGAGTCAAATGCCTTTCTGTAATCTATCCAAGCGGCGGAGAAGTTCCGACGGTTGCGTTTCACCACTTTGCCAATGACCGCGTCAATGAGGAGTGGTTCCTTGGTTCCACGACCGCCGCCCCGACATCCATTTTGAGCGCGCGACATCACCTAATTTGAGTCCAGGTGACAAGCGATTCTCGCGCTCAAAATGGATGTTAGTGTCTTGTATATAGTCGGTAGACACGTGATGGGGCGGTATTTGCTCGGGTCTGTGGCACCCTGATCATTAGGAACCAAATGAGTGATCCCAGTAGTGAAGAGGCTTGGGAGCGACTTCTGGTTGAGAGCCTCTTGAAACTGTCGGGCGAGCACAGCGTGACACACCATGAACCCCTTCAGCCAGTAGTGATGCAGCCCGTCAAGCCCCGGACTTTTCCAGTTCGGGGCCCTACGGACCGTCTCAGTACGTCATCCGGTTTTATATTGACGGGGTCCATGGGCATAATATCCGCACACTGACTCACCACAACTTCCGTCCAAGGGCCCTCGTTGTGGTTTACGGGCTCTGACCATAGGCTGCGCCAGAATGCGACCGTGTCGGCCTGATTTGGTGCTGGGCCCGTTCCACTTACTATTGGTCGCTCCAATGATTTGTAGAGCCTCTTCTGATCACTCTGGAAGAGACGATTCTGGTTGAACCGTGTCGACCTCTCGGTATATCGCCGAATCCGCTTTCCCCAAGCAGCGATTCTTTGCTTCAGGTCGTCTATGCGCTCCGTCAGTTTTTGCGTTATATCCGGCTGGGACAAACTAACATTTGTCCCAGCAAACGCCATCCTGACGGTGCGCACAATCCGTGGCCTGGTATTGCCTGACTTGAAGCATATCAGTCTGCCGATGAGGGCCCCAGCCCTTGCGATACGTTCTTCAATTCTTATTCTCCAGGCTGGGATAGCACTACTTTGTCCAGTAGCGCGTCCAGCCGTGGAAAGTTTGGCGCCTATAATACAGCAGACTGCCAGTGCGGCGCCAAAAAGAATTGAGTCCATCTCGCAAAGGTCCCGGCTGGCTTCCAAGTAGGTAACCAGCATTGGGTTCAGAGCCCTCACGACAGCCCGATTCCGCTTGCTTAGGGCTAAGCGGGGAAGTCGCGGTCGATTTTCGAGAGGCGTACTGCGCGTTTCCACAATCGCCTCCTCCAATGTACTCCTCATTTGCTCTAGTTCCAGTTCCTGGGCGACTGTTCCGTCATCGTTTGAATCAACCACAACTGGCGTATTCACGGCGGCATCCACATTTGCCGTTTGCTCAGCAAGTTGTGACGCCGCATCCTCAGCCGCAGCATTTTCACCCGATGAAGGAACAGCCTCACGTCGTAGCCGTTCGAGTTCGGTGACATCAAATGTATTTGAGCGCAAGATATACCGAACTCGGTCTGCCAGGTTTTTCTCGGTGACGGTTACAGATGGCTCCAGCTCAGGAAAAAGTCGATGCATCCTTGGCCGATACGCAAAACCTCCAGTTTCTCCCCCTTTCGCCCTAAAATACGCCCGCAATGCGTTGCTGTTCATCTGGGTTGTCCAACGCATGCGGCGTACTCCACCAGTGGCGGGTGCCGATTGCTGGGCCCGCGAAGACCCTGCCGACACCAAACCAGCTGGTGGGGATGATGGATGCGAGGGGCTGCTGGGTGTTCGTGCAGCACCTCGCGCTCGGCTGGTGGTTCGCATGCTGTCGCGTCCAGCGCCAGCTCCAGACGCGCCCTGGCGACCTCCAGGCAGCGGCCCTTTGCGAGTTATTCCGTATTCCATCATGTGGTGGGCGTCATTTAGCGGGAGACGCCCAGACCCGGCGCCGTTTCATGGTGAGGCCATGCACAAGCGGGCCTTTGCACCTTCAATTTTTGCCGAGGCACGGCACTAACACCTCTCGGCAAGGTGCTGACTGACTGCGCTGACGTACCGGTTTTGTCACATAACCGTTACGTCAGCGGGCGATGGGGTCGTCACTTCCCTACGCCTACTTTTATTATTATTATTTTTTATTGGTTACTCCTCTTTATTTTATTATTATTATTATTATTATAATATGATCACATATATTATCACAAAACTATAATATTACAAATATAAATACAATCTATATAAATAATATTATTATTTCGGCTATTATCCACCGCGGCGAGGAATTCTAAGCCATCGGTGAATTTAGGCATCCAAAGATAGGAACCTTCTTACTATTCGAGCCGTATTCAATAAGGCCGATTTTTGAATTAATGCCTTCAGCCATTTGCCCAAACCTAACTTGGACAGATAATCGTCCATATTTTTACCAATAAGTCCATTGACTGATACAACTACTGGTACAATAATAGTAGAATCAACGTCCCACATAGCGACAATCTCATGGGCCAAGTCGATATATTTTATTTTTTTATCATTCTCTGCTTTTACGAGATTCTCGTCATGAGGAACACTGATATCCACTATTATTGCCTTGCGTGTAGTTCGGTCTATCACCACAATGTCAGGTTTATTTGCCACTATAAACCTGTCTGTGATAATTGGCCGATCCCAGTACAGCGTGACACTTCTATTTTCAAGGACTGGCTTTGGTTCATACTTATAATAAGGAACATCCTGTTGAGTAAAGCCAAATTTAATGGCAAGCTGTTGGTGTATTATTCTAGCTACTTGGTTATGTCTGTGCAAATACTCACCATTTGATAGCTGTGAACAACCGGAAATAACATGTCTGAGGGACTCTCCAGGGTGGTGACATGCGCGACATACGTCAACTGTGCCGTCCCTCAAAATGTATTTCCGGTAGTTGTTCGTTTTAATTACTTCATCTTGTATTGCACAGATAAAACCTTCAGTTTCTGCAAAAAGGTCACCAAATTGTAACCAATGTACTGATGCAACCATGTCTACATAAGGATTAGTCAATGCTTTAAAAAACCGACCATGCAGTTGTTTGTCATTCCAAACCTTTTTGCGTTCATCTATAGACATAGTATGAGGCCTCTGCCAGTCCTTTGCCGACATATTAAGCGGGGTTAATGATTTGTCATTAGTCACTACGTCATTATGAATATGTGATGTGTCTTTTTTTTAATAAAATAGTCTCTGAGGTTGTATACTTCACGGTTGTGTAGGTTTTTAATGTTTAATAAGCCCCGTCCACCATCTTTTCTTGGAAGATACAACCTCATGACAGATGATCGTGGGTGGTGCATTCTGTGCGTAGTCATTAATGTACGGACTCGTCTATCTAAGTCATCAAGTTCCGTTTGAGACCATCTTGTAACACCAAAAGTATATAGAAGGCTAGGTATTACCCAGGAGTTATATGCTCTAATTTTGTTTCCGCCGGATAAATGACTTTTGATAACTTTTTTTTAACCTTGACATAAATTTTACTTTTGAATTCTCTTTAATATTTTTGTCATTGATTCCTAGCGCTTCTGCCATGCCCAAGTATTTATAGGTTTCTGTTTCAGAAAGAGAACTGAAATGTAAGTCATTTGTAATTGCTAAATTATTACAATCTTTAATTTTGCCCCTATTTACGTTAATGACAGCACATTTATCTATTCCAAATTCCATTCTAATATCATTGTTGAAACTATGTGTTAATTTCAACAATAATAGTAGATTACTCTCTTTTGATGTAAATAGTTTGAGATCATCCATATAAAGTAGATGTGAGATCGGTGAGTTTTCTTTTCGAAACCGAAACCCTAATCCGGATTCCTCAATAGCAGTGCTTAAAGGATTCAGGGCTAAACAAAACAAAGTTGGGCTCAAACTATCGCCCTGGAATATACCCCGTTTAATATTTATAGAGTCTATCGAACTACTTTGCCACTCACCTGGTAGATTTAGAACAGTGTTCCACTGACCCATTAATTTACTTAAAAACTTACTAATTTTGTCATCTATTTTATATATTTCTAAAACTCTCTTTAGCCATGAATGTGGAACAGAGTCATATGCATTTTTGTAATCCACCCAAGCAGCGGACTTATTTTTGCGATTACGAAAGACTTGTCGGCAAATAGCTGTGTCAATGAGAAGAAGTTCTTTACAACCACGTGACCCTTTCCGACATCCGTTCTGTGCAGTTGAAAGAATGTTATTATTTTCCAAATGTTTATAGATAATGTTATTCAAAATTGCAGTTATTAATTTGTATACAGTTGAAAGGCATGTTATAGGTCGGTAATTTTTAGGTTCCGTGGTGTTTATTATTATTATCTATAACCGCCGCCGCCACTGCGTATCTCTACGTGAAGTGTTCTTTCAGTGAAGTAGTGTTCAACGACGTAGGCTGGGGGCTGACAGACAGCAGCAAGACGGGAGAAGGGTTCTCCGCGCGGGTGAACGCAAGCGCCTCGTAGCGCCGTGGCACCGGAGCCCATTTATTTTTATAATTAAAAATATATGGAATAAATGGTGTACGTGTGTCGCGTCGTATACGAATATGCGCGAGCGACCGCAATGCCAAAATTTAATATTATTATTATTATTTATTGGTTATTCCTCTTTATGGGGTGATATCCCTAAATCGGCCTTAACGGCAAGATGTTAAGGAAATTATTTGGTTACAAGTCTCCATGTCATGTCATGTCTCCTCACAATGGCAGTTGTCCTCTAAATGACAGCCTTTTGAATTTTATCGAGCACAGCTCTTGCTAAGCCCAATTTGTCAAGGTTGCTACTTAGCTGTTTTGGTATAATACCCGTAGTTGAGAGTATAAGCGGAATTATAATTACTTCATTCTGCCGCCACATCTGCTTTACCTCTTCAGCAAGTGGTTGGTACTTTGAAATTTTTTCTGTGTGGTATTGTTGAATGTTGTGTGAGTTGGGAACACCAATGTCAATTAAATAAGTCCGCTTCACTTCTTTGTCAATCAGCACAATATCCGGCCGGTTATGGGAAATTGATCGATCCGTCAAAATTGATCTGTCCCAGTAAACTTGTACTTTATCATTTTCTAATACAGGACTTGGTTGGTGTTTCCAATACGCAATTTCTTCATTTATCAGAAAGTATTTTTTTATTAACGCTAAGTGAATTATTTTGGCGACATCGTTGTGCCTTTGGGTATAATATGTCGCAGCAAGAGCCTGAGAGGCACCGGTGATGTGCTGAATTGTTTCGGGACTTTGTCTACAGCATCTGCATAATTCATCCTCTATCTCAGCTTTAAATATGTACTTCAGATAGTTGCTTGTTGGAATAACCTGATCCTGGATAGCTATCATGAATCCCTCTGTTTCGGCGAATATTCCCCTCCTACAAAGCCAGTTAGTTGAGACAACATCATGGGCAAAACGTCCGTGAATAGGTTTCGATGCCCACTGGCTAAATTTATTCCTAACATGATTTATATCACTTATTAGGGGGTTCAATCATGGAGGAGATCTAACGGTGTGAGCCTGTCATCAGCCAGGCAGACAATACGATACAAGGGAGAAGATTCGTTATTCCAGAAGTACTGCTGTAAGTTTTCTATTTGTCTGGTATGCTGTCTCTTAATATCTATAAGCCCTCTGCCTCCCTTAGTTCTTGGTAGAGTAATCCTCTCGACCGCCGATTTTGGATGCTGGGACAAATGTTAGTTTGTCCCAGCCGGATATAATGCAAAAACTGACGGAGCGCATAGACGACCTGAAGCAGAGTATCGCTGCTTGGGGAAAGCGGATTCGGCGATATACCGAGAGGTCGACACGGTTTAACCAGAATCGTCTCTTCCAGAGTGATCAGAAGAGGCTCTATAAATCGTTGGAGCGACCAATGGTAAGTGGAACGGGCCCAGCACCGAATCAGGCCGACACTGTAGCATTCTGGCGCGGCCTGTGGTCAGAGCCCATAAACCACAGCGAGGGCCCTTGGAAGGAAGTTGTGGCGAGTCAGTGTGCGAGTATAACGCCCATGGACCCCGTCAATATAACGCCGGATGACGTAGCTGAGGCGGTCCGTAGGGCCCCGAACTGGAAAAGTCCGGGACTCGACGGGCTGCATCACTACTGGCTGAAGGGGTTTGTGGTGTGTCACACTGTGCTCGCCCGACAGTTCCAAGAGGCTCTCAACCAGAAGTCGCTCCCGAGCCTCTTCACTACTGGGATCACGCATTTGGTTCCTAAAGACCAGGTTACCACAGACCCGAGCAAATACCGCCCCATCACGTGTCTGCCGACCATATACCAGACACTAACATCCATTTTGAGCGCGAGAATCACTCGTCACCTGGAATCAAATCAGGTGATGTCGCGCGCTCAAAATGGATGTCGGGACGGTGGTCGTGGAACCAAGGAACCACTCCTCATTGACACGGTCATTGGCAAAGTGATGAAACGCAACCGTCGGAACTTCTCCGCCGCCTGGATAGACTACAGAAAAGCATTCGACTCGGTGCCCCATACATGGCTAAAGAGGGTCCTCGAGCTGTACAGGATAGACTGTACAGTTAGAGACTTCCTCGAGCAGTGTATGGGGCAGTGGTGTACGATACTCTGTTATCTGGGCGAGCGGATGATGGCTGCGGAGAACCACATAAGGATAAGAAGGGGTATCTTCTAGGGCGATTGTCTGAGTCCTGGATTGGATTCAGCTGAACCCTCTCAGTACCTTACTGGAGGGCTCCGGGAGAGGATTTCAGCTACGGAAGGGAGGAACAAAAGTGACCCACCTTTTCTATATGGATGACCTCAAGTTATTCGCCTCCAGTCGCTCCCATCTTATGGAATTGCTAAACATCACTTGTGAATTTAGCAAGTCTATTGGAATGGAGCTGGCGACGGATAAGTGTGCGGTCCTTCATGTTGAAAGGGGAAGGGTTGCTAACTCTGAGGGCATAGATTTATCTATGCCCGTCAACATAAAGACCCTTTCCGAGGCTGAAACATACCGATACCTGGGTATGTCACAGAACATCGGTATCTATGAGGCTGGTATGAAACAGTCAGTTTGCGACGTGTTTTATGCACGCTTGACCAAAGTGCTTAACAGCCTTTTCTCCGGTGTGAATAAGACACACGCATATAACGGTTGGGTCATGCCTGTCCTCATATATACCTTTGGCATACTCAGGTGGACTCAGACCGAACTTAACGCCCTGGATAGAAAAGTCCGCACTACCATGACGTCCCATAGGATGCATCATCCGAGATCGTCGGTAATGAGGCTGTACTTGCCGCGAAAGCATGGTGGGCGTGGCTTCCTGAGCGCGCTCACCATGCATAATCGCGAAGTGTTACGTGATTACTTCCTGGCGAGATCGGATGATCCATTCTATAATGACGTCATTTCTAGTGATAAAGGGCTTACCCCTCTATCCTTAGCCAACGAGCAATAGCAGGACACAGCAGTGCATAGCATTTCCGCCCAGGAGACCGTATGGAAGGAGAAGGAGCTCTACGGGAGGTACTACAGGGCTCTTCATGAACCCTTCGTAGATACAGTCGCCTCCCTCAACTGGCTACGTTCCGGTGACCTCTTCGGGGAAACCGAGGGTTTTGTCTGTGCAATACAGGATTAGGTTATTAAGACCAACAACTATTAGAGATACATCCTAAAGGATGGCACCGTCGACGTCTGTCGAGCTTGTCGCCATCCCTGTGAGTCACTTAGGTATGTCATCTCCGGTTGTTCGGCGCTTTCTAACTCTGAGTACTTGCACAGGCACAACCTAGTAGCTAGAATTCTACACCAGGAGCTCAAAATCTCTGAAATATGGTCTCGTGGACTAGAAATTTCCGTATTACAAGCACTTGCCAGAAGCCGTGATCGATAATGACCGCGCCAGCCTCTACTGGGACCCGACCATCATCACAGACAGGACTATTCTTGCGAATAAGCCTGATATTGTGCTGATGGACCGGGTACAGTCAAGGATATTTTTGGTCGACATTACCATGCCGTATGACGAGAACCTCGTGAAAGCCGAAACAAATAAGGGAACAAAATATCTGGACCTGGCTCACGAGGTGACCGACATGTGGGGTGGTCGGCCGACCGAAATTATTCCTGTAGTCGTCTCTGCGAATGGCCTAAACCCAGTCAGCCTCTCGGGTCATCTGAGGCGACTGGGACTCCTTGACGGACCGCTCCGGGGTCAAATGCAGAAGGCAGTGCTCCTCGATACCGCCCGCATCGTCCGTCGGTTTCTTTCCCTTTCCCCCTAACCCTTGGCCGTTTGGTCTCCCCTGCCGAGGGCTTCCATCTGGTTAGATCTTTATTTATTAGTTTATTTTTTGTATTTATTTTATTTTATTGATATTTATGTATATTTATCTTTTCATTTTCATTTACAATTATTTATTTATACAGCCCAACCAGATGAGAAAACTATATAGATACCCCACAATAATAATAATAATAAGGATGATGGAATTAAATAGAACGCGCAAAGGGCCGCTGCCTGGAGGTCGCCAGGGCGCGTCTGGAGCTGGCGCTGGACGCGACAGCATGCGAACCGCCAGCCGAGCGCGAGGTGCTGCACGACCACCCAGCAGCCCCTCGCATCCATCATCCCCACCAGCTGGCTTGGTGTCGGCAGGGTCTTCGCGGGCCCAGCAATCGGCCACCCCACCCCATATCTTGCGCTTAAATACATTAGATGTCACCGAACTCGAACGGCTACGACGTGAGGCTGTTCCTTCATCGGGTGAAAATGCTGCGGCTGAGGATGCGGCGCCACAACTTGCTGAGCAAACAGCAAAAGTGAATGCCGCCGTAAATACGCCAGTTGTGGTTGATTCAAACGATGATGGAACAGTCGCCCAGGAACTGTAACTAGAGCAAATGAGGAGTACATTGGAAGAGGCGATTGTGGAAACGCGCAGTACGACTCTCGAAAATCGACCGCGACTTCCTCGCTTAGCCCTAATCAAGCGGAATCGGGCTATCGTGAGGGCTCTGAACCCAATGCTGGTTACCTATTTGGAAGCCAGCCGGGACCTTTGCGAGACGGACTCAATTCTTTTTGGCGCCGCACTGGCAGTCTGCCGTATTATAGGCACCAAAATTTCCACGGCTGGACGCGCTACTTGACAAAGTAGTGCTATCCCAGCCTGGAGAATAAGAATTGAAGAACGTATCGCAAAGGCTAGGGCCCTCATCGGCAGACTGATATGCTTCAAGTCAGGCAATACCAGGCCAAGGATTGTGCGCACCGTCAGGATGGCGTTTGCTGGGACAAATGTTAGTTTGTCCCAGCCGGATATAATGCAAAAACTTACGGAGCGCATAGACGACCTGAAGCAAAAATCGCTGCTTGGGGAAAGCGGATTTGGCGATATACCGAGAGGTCGATACGGTTCAACCAGAATCGTCTCTTCCAGAGTGATAAGAAGAGGCTCTATAAATCATTGGAGCGACCAATAGTAAGTGGAACGGACCCAGCACCAAATCAGGCCGACACGGTCGCATTCTGGCGCAGCCTGTGGTCACAGCCCGTAAACCACAACGAGGGCCCTTGGACGGAAGTTGTGGCGAGTCAGTGTGCGGGTATTACGCCCATGGACTCCGTCATCATAACGCCGGATGACGTAGCTGAGGCGGTCCGTAGGGCCCCGAACTGGAAAAGTCCGGGGCTTGACGGGCTGCATCACTACTGGCTGAAGGGGTTCATGGTGTGTCACGTTGTGCTCGCCCGTTAGTTTCAAGAGGTTCTCAACCAGAAGTCACTCCCAAGCCTCTTCACTACTGGGATCACTCATTTGGTTCCTAAAGATCAGGGTGCCATAGACCCGAGCAAATACCGCCCCATCACGTGTCTTCCCACCATATATAAGACACTAACATCCATTTTGAGCGCGAGAATCGCTCGTCACCTGGACTCAAATCAGGTGATGTCGCGCGCTCAAAATGGATGTCGGGGCGGTGGTCGTGGAACTAAGGAACCACTCCTCATTGACACGGTCATTGGCATAGTGGTGAAATGCAACCGTCGGAACTTCTCCGCCGCCTGGATAGACTACAGAAAGGCATTCGACTCGGTGCCCCATACATGGCTAAAGAGGGTCCTCGAGCTGTACAAGATTGATTGTACAGTTCGAGAATTCCTCGAGCAGTGTATGGGGCAGTGGAGTACGATTCTCTGTCATCTAGGCGAGCGAATGACGGCTGCGCAAAGCCGCATAAGGATAAGAAGGGGTATATTCCAGGGCGACTGTCTGAGTCCAATCTGGTTCTGCCTCTCTTTGAACCCTCTCAGTACTTTACTGGAGGGCTCCGGGAGGGGATTTCAGCTTCAGAAAGGAGGTACAAAAGTGACCCACCTTTTCTATATGAATGACCACAAATTATTCGCCTCCAGTCGCTCCCATCTTGTGGAATTGCTAAACATCACTTGTGAATTTAGCAATTCTTTTAGAATGGATCTGGGGACGGATAAGTGTGCGGTCCTCCATGATGAATGGGGAAGGGTTGCTAACTCTGAGGGCATAGACTTATCTATGCCCGTCAACTTAAGGGCCCTTTCCGAGGCTGAAACATACCGATACCTGGGTATGTCACAGAACATCGGTATCGATGAGGCTGGTATGAAACAGTCAGTTTGCGACGTGTTTTATGCACGCTTGGCCAAAGTGCTTAACAGCCTTTTGTCCGGTGTGAATAAGACACATGCATATAACTGTTGGGTCATGCCTGTTCTCATGTACACCTTTGGCATACTCAGGTGGAGTCGGACTGAACTTAACGCCCTGGATAGAAAAGTCCGCACTACCATGACGTCCCATAGGATGCATCATCCGAGATCGTTGGTAATGAGGCTGTACTTGCCGCGAAAGCATGGTGGGCGTGGCTTCCTGAGCGCGCTCACCATGCATAATTGCGAGTGCAACCTCCGTCATTACTTCCTTCGTGACGTCATTTCTAGTGATAAAGGACTTACCCCTTTATCCTTAGTCAACGAGCAATGGCAGGACCCAGCAGTGCATAGCATTTCCGACTGGGAGACCGTATGGAAGGAGAAGGAGCTCCACGGGAGGTACTACAGGGCTCTACATGAGCTCTTCGTAGATACAGTCGCCTCCCTCAACTGGTTACGTTTCGGTGACCTCTTCGGGGAAACCGAGGGTTTTGTCTGTGCAATACAGGATCAGGTTATTAAGACCAACAACTATCGGAGATACATCCTAAAGGATGGCAACGTCGACGTCTGTCGAGCTTGTCGCCATCCCGGGGAGTCACTTAGGCATGTCATCTCCGGTTGTTCGGCGCTTTCTAACTCTGAGTACTTGCACAGGCACAACCTAGTAGCCAGAATTCTACACCAGGAGCTCGCTCTGAAATACGGTCTCGTGGACCGGAAGTTGCCGTATTACAAGTACTTGCCGGAAGCCGTGCTCGAAAATGACCGCGCCAGGCTCTACTGGGACCGGGCCATCATCACAGACAGGACTATTCTTGCGAATATTTGAGGATATTTGTTGTTTGTTGTACTTGTTTTATGAGGATATTTTTGGTCGACATTACCATTCCGTATGACGAGAACCTCGTGAAAGCCGAAACAAATAAGGTAACAAAGTATCTGGATCTGGCTTACCAGGTGACCGACATGTGGGGTGGTCGGCCGACCGAAATTATTCCTGTAGTCGTCTCTGCGAATGGCCTAATCCCAGTCAGCCTCTCGGGTCATCTGAGGCGACTGGGACTCCTTGACGGACCGCTCCGGGGTCAAATGCAGAAGGCAGTGCTCCTCGATACCGCCCGCATTGTCCGTCGGTTTCTTTCCCTTTCCCCCCTAACCCTTGACCGTTTGGTCTCCCCTGCCGAGGGCTTCCATCTGGTTGGATCTTTATTTATTAGTTTATTTTTTGTATTTATTTTATTTTATTTATATTTATGTATATTTATCTTTTCATTTTAATTTATAATTATATATTTTTAGAAACCAACCAGATGAGAAAACTATACAGATACCCCAATAATAATAATAACCTTTAATTGCAAGAATATGGTTGTACAATGGTGTTCGAGTATAATTTGTTCTACATATTCTACCTCAGTGGTGTGCAAATATTAATAGTCAAGTACCCGTAACTTATACAACAATACTTATCGATTTTTTAACAACACAAATTTTTTTAACATTACTCAGTTGATTTGATGATTAATTAATTATGCAACATTGTCAGAAAAATAAATTGCCAAAAGATGTATAAGTATTATTATAGCTCAATGTCAAATATTAATGTTCTTTTGTCAGTAAATATAAAGTCAATTATAAATGTTACATATCGAATTGTCATTAATTTATTTCAATATTTATATCAAATTTATTAATTAAATAAATAAAAATTTTAATTTATAATAATGGCATAATTTAAACATTGTGTCAAATTCTAAAATATATCGTCTACTTATCTGCAAAGAAGTCTTTAATTGAGTAAAAAGATTTCTGGATGAGCCATTTTTTAGGTGAGTTTTCATTTTCATTGTTGGTAACTCTCTAATCGCTTTAGGTATCTTATTAAAAACTTTTATCCACATTACTTAACAATTTTATGAAACAAAGCTGTCCTGCAGGCAGGCATTAACAATCTAGTTGGGTCCCTTTTACCTATAATAGAATTGTCGCGAGCGCTATGAAATAAACACTGATTTTTTTTTGACAAATATACACACCTCTAATATATACAGGCCAGTCAGCGTTAGCAAATTGTTATTTTTAAATAAAGATCTACATGATTCAAGGGCCCGACGTTGCATAAAGCTCGTATACATTTCTTTTGACTGATAAATGCCTTGTTTATATCAGTCGAGTTTCCCCATAACAACAGACCATACCTCAACACAGATTCAATGTTTCCGTAGTATGCAGTAAGCGCAGCTCCTTTCCCAGCGACGCACTGTAGTCTACGCAGTGCATACACAAATTTATTTAATTTGGTGCAGACATTTTTCACATGCGACTTCCAGTTGCAATGGTTATCAACATGTAGACCTAAAAATTGTATTTCTGAAACCTCTTTCAAATATTCATTATTATATGAAATATTTAATTTTTCATTTGGTGTACTGTAATTGGAAAACGTTATGAATTTCGTTTTTGAAACATTCGCACGCAGGTTATTGGTTTCTAACCAGGTCATTATGGATTCTATAGAAGAATTTAACGTTATTTCGAAGTCACTTGCGGGAAATTCTTTTTTTAGTTTTGGTATGACAACGGAAATATCATCAGTAAAAAGAATAGACTGATGAGGTGTCATAGTCGGTAAGTCATTTATATATAATAGAAATAAAAGTGGACCCAATACACTGCCCTGTGGTACAACATTTTTATTGTGAGTAAAAGAAGATCTAAATGACGTGCGGTTATGCTTTACTTCAACACATTGTTGTCGATTTTCTAAATATGATTTTAGCCAATTTAATGCTGGTCCACGAATTCCATATCTTTCACACTTATCTATTAGTATAATGTGATCAACACAGTCAAATGCCTTTGACATGCCATAAAATATAGCAACCACTGGTACTTTATGGTTTATGTAATCAGTTACTCTATGTATTCAAGAAAATGTGGCATGTGTTGTGGATTTTCCTTTTTGGAATCCGTTCTGTTCTTTACGGAGAATATTATATTTAGACAAGTAGTTGTAAATTCTACTATGCATCACCTTCTCAAATATTTTCGAAAAAATTGGTATTAGTGTAATAGGTCTGTAATTGGTTAATTCGTGATGATCACCTTTTTTATAGAGCGGTTTCACAATCGAAGTTTTTAGTTTCTCGGGAAACGTACCCTGTGTGAACGATAGATTTATGAGGTTTGAAAGAATAGGACCTATAATATCGGCACAATCCTTTAGTATATGAGTAGAGACTGAATCATTACCCACAGACTTCGTATTGTTTAGGGATTTAATTATTCTTATAACTTCATTTACAGAACATGGTCGTAAAAATATGCTATGTTCGAAGTTGTCTAAGCGCATTCTATGTTTCTGTATTTTTTTATCATTATTTATGTTAGAGATGTCTACGAAATAGTCATTAAATTTTTCTGCAATGTCATTAGGATTCACAATTTTTATACCGTCATTATTAATCCAATCAATATCTTTATTGCTTGTATAGTCATATTCATTATTTTTAATAATGTCCCAGGTTGTCTTACATACATTCTTAGATTTTGTAATTAAATTGTTATTTATTTTCTTTTTTGACCAAATAATACAAGATTTGAGTAATTTTGAATACTTAACATACGTTTTTTTGTTTTTAGTATTTTTGTTTTTATAATAGATGTATCTCAATTTTCTTTTGATAATACTTGATATTTTAATACCCGTAGTAATTCATTCAGGTGCTTGAATGCTAAAATTTATTTTACATCTTTGAATAGGAAAGCAAAGATTATATAGTAAGCAAAACATTTCATGAAAGTAGAAAATAAGTAATAAAATTGTTTACAAAAAAACATAGGTGTCTAAGGTCATTAGTTTTATGTTATTTTATACTGTTTTTTAATGGTTGGAAAGGAAATTAACCAATTATTGAACTTAAGATATTGATTTATCAGAATTATTTAAGATCATTTGGATGCCATCTAGCGTGCCAATGTTTAAACGTCGCCTTTCGTTTGCTTCTCAAAAGTCACGCACACTACTAAAGAAGT